AAGCCCAGGATACAGCCCCCAACAGTCTTGGAGATAGCCCATCCCAAAGAAATGTTAATGAACAGCAAACTTGACTCGGAAATGCCCAGATTACTTCTTTGGCCCACCTGTGTCCCACCCCTCCGGCCTTCCAACCTACATTCCATTACTGGAAGAACTATAAAAAGGGGAACACATTGCCCGCTAACTGGATTCCACCTTCTGGGTCCCCTTCTTCCTCCGGGAGAAGTCTTTTCTTCTGTCCTTTAATAAATTTCTAATTTCTACTCTGGCCTTGCCTCGGCGTGCTTCTTTGGTGTTATTCTTCAACATCGGGGAGCAAGAACTCGTCACCGGTCAACAGCGGTAACACTACCAAGAAGACAGAACCCAGGGAGAGACTGGTGTAGGTTCCAGAAGTGAGCTCAGGACCACCTGGGCAAGGAACTCTAAGATCCTAGGAACCCAGTCATGGTCTACAAATCAGAGAAGGTTCCAGGTGCATGCTCCTTTAGTCCTGTGATCTTCACAACCTATGAGAAGAAGCTCATCCATTTAAGGCACAAGACCCAGGGCAGGGGGCCCTAGTTACCAAGGTCTAAGGGTGATGCTATTTGCTTCTCTCCCTTTTACCTCCTGATGCTCGTCGTTCACAACTTGATAATACAGCAAATCGGGAAGTAGCCTCCTTAGCAGCTTGTTATATCTGGGAAAATCGTCCTTTAGGGGAAAAGTCTGGGACTACAGCTTAAACTGTGTTATTTTCCTGTTACTCTTAATGCTGGGACTATTTTCTTTCATTAGACCATATAATGGAAAGTCAATTAAGCCTGGCTTTCTGCCACTCCTGTCTGTGGCAAGTTGTCATTAGGATGGCTAAGCACAAGTTTATCAATCAACTGCAATGTCTGTGCTTGTGTGCTGAGTGGGCTTGAGGAGCCCCTCTGAGTCCTGGGTCTCCATCATTTGTGCAGTCCTGTGGATGAGGAGACTCTCCAAGAGGCACTTAGCTGAATCTGTTTGCGCCCTGTGAGGGCAGAGAGTCCGCTACAAAGTCTGAACACCCAACCTCAAAAAGAGACAGCCTGCCCTCCAAGAACCAGATAGGAGCAGGTGGGAATTTGGCAGGAAAGGAACTCTATAAGGTGCCTCGCTGAAATCACTCTGGACCGTGCTTCAAATGCAGGTGGGCACCTTTCTCTGTTACTTAGGAAGCCCTCCACCCAGCCCAGGGGAACAAGGACTGAGATCTGATGTGACAATGATGCTAACAAGAAGATGCTCCCCTTCAGCTCCCACCCATCACACAATGACTTCAGTTCCTGTAAGGAACCTGTCTCTTCCACATGGCCTGACTGACAGAACCAGTAAAACTGGCTTTGTGAACAGGAAAAAAACCAAACAATTGCAGTGCTTTGTGCTTCTTGGAAGCTTTCTTCATTGAGTTCAGCGATTCTACGCCTTATTGTGGATCATGGATCTCTATGTTGGATAAGTACCAAAGGCCATGAGTGCTTCTAAGTATATCTAAAAACTGCTGTATGCCTTTCAAGCAGTGAGACGCGATCGAAAGAACATCGAACAAATAATCTGAGATGCAGGTATGTCTAGCCCCAGCTTTCTACCTACATTTTATTAGTATTCTCATAGGATGTTGTTGTTGTATGTGTGTGTGTGTGTGTGTGTATAATTTTCTATGTATTATGATGTTTTGACATGTTAAAAATCTTTCTAGTTGGGGAGAGACTGCCTTTCCTGAGGCTAGCCAATCCTAAATCCTAAGGGATAACTGTGGTCCCAGCCTGGAGCTGGTCCCTTCAATGTACAAATCAGAGCCAGGCCTCCTCAGTCTGACCCACCTTAATGATTTCAGGCCACCGGGGACCATTCGCACAGCTCAGAGCCTGTGGAAGCTACTCAGACCACCCTATCTTGAACCGTTCCTTTTCTTTCCCCAGGAAACCACAATAAAAGCTTAACTCTTTCCCCCGGCTTCTGCTTGCTGCTTTCTGACCACACTGAGGCCTCCCCATGTCACCCCAGTGTACCATGCCAAGCTTCTTTTTCCAAGTACCAGTAAATGTAATGTGATTTGTTTTACTGGGCCTCTCCTGTGTCTCCTTTTGATTTTGCACCTGACTGATCATCATATAAAAAATACACAAAACAGGAAAAAGAGAGGGCATGGGTTAATGATTTATGAGCTCCCTTCTGGTGCTCTATGGTTCAGTATAGTGGTTCAGTATAGCTCTATGAAATGGCAAGTGTGTTAAACAGCCTTTGCCCCATCTTCCCCTGACCATCTCCTCATCTTCCAACTAGCTCAGAGGCTAGTTGCTCCCACAAGGCTGTCCCTCCCCTCCTGTCCCCTGCAGTTATGTTCCCAGGGTGTCCTGTACTATTCTGCAGGCTTCCTCTTACTAGGGTATAATTATAATTAATCTGTGGATTCCCTGCTCCTCTGCGAATTCTGGGAGGACAGAGGCCAATCTTCTTGTAAAAAAAAAAAAATATATATATATATATATATATATATATATATAGTTGTAGATGGATACAATACCTTTTATTATTTTGTTTATTTTTTTATGCATTGCTGAGGATCAAACCCAGTGTCTCATACATGTGAGGCAAGTGCTCCACCACTGAACTATATCCCAGCCCAACAGAAGCCAATCTTTAGAGCTGTATCCTCAGCATCAATGCCCAGCAGGGAGCTCCAGGGCCTCTGTGAAACAAAGATGTGAATGGATCGTTTCTGATGGGTGCACCTCCCTTTGGTCACCTGACTGTCGATGGAAGATGTTCTGGGGGGGGGGGGTAACTATTTAGGGAACTTGCTGAAATAGCCTTTGTTCTTCAGCCTGCATTTAGAAACAGTCTTTGGATCTATGTACCACCAGTCCACACATAATGAATCAGATGTCAGCATTTTTTTTTAAAGGGAAAAGATGAAGGAAAAAAAATTCTATTTTTATGATCTAGGAAACCCAGACTATTATATCCGGCTCAGTTCTCATTAATAAAACAAGAGAGCCTTGCCTTCTCATTTGAGCTCTTCAGATTAATCTGATTGTCCCAAAGCATTACTAATTGTATAGCAACATCATTTATTTCACAGAATTGGAAATGACATACATATCCAACACAGTGATGGTTGAATAAACTATGACATGCTTGACTGATGGATTCTCCTGCAGGCTTTGACAACAGTGTCCACAATATAATCTGAAGTTAAAAGTGAGACATAAAATCATATGAAGTGTGACTGCCATCATGCCAAATATATCAAATATATGTGTAAAAAATTAAAGGAGACGCTACAGAATATTAATAGTGGCTGTGTTTATGGACTCTGGATAATTTTTTCTATTTCTCTGAATTTTTTAGCTTTTTCTCTAATGACCTTTAAGATTTTACTCTCATGGTGAAAAACCAAAATCAACAAATCATTTAATTACTGAATGAAACTGCTCTAAATCTTTTGGCTGTTGACCCTGGGTGTGTCTGCTTGAAAAAGAGCTGTGTTGATGCACAGGGAAGACCCCCAGTGAAACCAACAGAAGCAGAGATGGAAACCTGAGGGACCCTCCAGAGCAGCAGGTGCCTGTGCAGGAACCATCATCGGTGACATGCAGGAGCTCTTGTGATGGGCCAGACACTGTCTGTGTTTTATTTTTGTAAATCTTCATAAAAGTTGCAGGAGATTAAGTATGCCTGTTACTCCCATTTGGTGATAGTGAGGATGGTTACTGGGGATTGAACCAGGGACACTTTATGACTGAGCCACATCCCCAGCCCTTTTTAGTTTTTATTTTGTGACAAGGCCTCGCTACATTGCTGAGGTGGGCCTTGAACTTGTGATCCTCCTGCCTAAGCCTCAGGATCTCTGAGATTACAGAAGTGTACCACAATGTCCAGCTGTGACTCCCATTTTATAGATGAACTTGAGACTCAGTATTAATACATTTGCTGGGAGGTGGGGAGTACAGTTTGATCCAAGGCAGTCCACCTCCACCGTCTGCCATCTTCTCTCTACCCTCCCTCCAGCACAAGAGGAGAGAGTGCTGGGAAAACAAGCACATTCTGGGCCACTCTTACTTTCATGCAAGGATACTTGGGTCAGACAAAGGCACAGCCTCTATTTCCATTTTCAGCCTGAACAAATTGCATACAGATGAGTCCCCAGAAGACACCGATCTCTCAGTGGAGATGGTCTCTGTAAACACTTACCATCTTATCACAAAGCTCTGAGCAGAGCATGGTCCAAAAGTTGTCCTCTTTTTTTATACATAAATGCATTGCTTTAGAGGCCATATAGGCCCATTTATTAAATAGTCTCAGCATAGCCAACCTTGCAGACCCGGACCAACATGGATAGAGTACATTCCAAGTTTCCAGCTGAGAGGTGAACAACAGGTGCCTCTGTACTTGCCAGAGCAATTACAGTCATGTGCTTGTTGAAAGTAATCACCCTACAAATACCAACCAACTGAATACACTTGGCTCACACCATTGGGGCACACAGCTGCTTTGAGGCTCCCTGTTATGAAGTCTTATTTTCTCAGCACAGAAACCTACTAGTGAAAAGTCTTTGTGAGTGTAGGGAAGGGGAGAAAACTTCAGGAGAACAGAGCAGGACACCTGGAGAGAATCTGTCCTGTTGGAGTCAAGATTGTCAGTAAAATAAAGTAAACTCTGCCTTCATCCCTCCCTGGAATCTTTCAACGGGGAAGAGAGGAAAACAGAAACAGGTTTCAGAAAATCAGCCCTGCAAGATTAGCCTGGAGGAAGGGATCCCTGGGGCTTCATATAAATCCATTATAAATAAAATTCATAATTCCAAATAAACTTTCTAACAGGGAGAACTTAATGAGCAAAAGGAAATTAATAAAGAGAGGTAAATCCTGAAAATAAGACCCAATCATTAGGAAAATGCTTGAGAAGAATGCTATCCAGGTATGATTGTGCTCTCTTTGCCTGGCCCCTGAGGGACACCTCTGTGTTGTGCATTCACTTACTTTCTCTGGAACTGGACCACAGGATCAGCAAGCAGGTCAGAGACGTCAAGCTTTCTCCCCTTCTCAATGACATCTGGATGCTTGCGAACCAACAGCCACCCGACGTGGGAGAAGAAGAAGCCTCTGCGGGCATTGTGAGGGTCAGCATCTGTCTCCGAGTACTTGTGGTGGGCTCGGTGGTCCCTGGCCCACTCGAAGATGTCATTCTGCAGAGAGAATGCAGAGGCCGAGTGAAGGGACTGAATGCCCAGGTGCTTCCTGGAAAGTGGCTCGGCCTCCTGGTCCTGAGGCTCATTTCCACTCTCCTCCCATCTTCTCCCCACAGTCCCTCCACCTCAAGTTCAATCCTGCAGGGAGGTCTGGGTGGGTTTCATCAGAACAAGATAAAATCCTCACTTAGAGGGAACCTCGGCTTGTGTGTGAGATGTGCCCATGGCAGAAGGGTTCAGGTTTGTTGGGTGAACTAGAGGGGAGACCTGGAAAAAAGTTCTGGGAGCTACTGAAGCCTCCTAAGAGATAACTTACGTAAAGAAAGAGAGATCCCATCTTCAGATGAGGTTGTCAGAGGAGAGGGTTGACCTTGAGTGTGAAAGGGGTGTTGGTTCTTACACAGAACTCTCTGCCTGCCTCCCCCACTTCAATGGGCTTCGAGTGAGATGCCAGTAAGTAAAAACCCCCAAGAGGTACTTCTCCAAACCCCAGCAAAATACCAAGGCACAAATGACTGTGCTTTAGGACTATTCTAACACAGTGTAACAGAAAGAGAGGGGAGGCGACTTTGGCTCTGCGAGGCAGTACTCACCAACTTGGCAAGGACAGGACAGCACTCACCCAATCTCACAGAACCCAGGAAAGGAGAGGTGCCAGATCTGGGGTGGGCATCACCCTACTGACCCTCTTGTGCTGGGAGACTCTGGGAGGCTGTTAGGTGGCTGGAGGTCCTGGGTGAGTCATCAAGGGTAAGAATGGATGCATTTAGGCTGTTCTAATTAAAGAGACCTTATCTATAGTCATGGGTCTGTGAGAGCTACAGACTTTCAACTTAAACTCAGTTTTTCCATTTTTTTGACATAGTTTTTTTAGTTGTAGTTGGACACAAAACCTTTATTTTATTTATTTATTTTTATGTGGTGCTGAGGATCGAACCCAGTGCTTCACACGTGCTAGGTGAGTGCTCTACCACTGAGCCACAACCACAGCCCCAGTTTTTCCAATTTTTAAAAGTCTACAAAGCTTTAGCCAGACATGGTAGTGTACACCTATAATCCCGACAGCTCAGGAGGCTGAGGCAGGAGGATCGAGAGTTCAAAGCCAGCCTCAGCAACTTAGCGAGGCCCTAAGCAACTTAGCAAAACTCTGTCTCTAAATAAAATATTTTAAAAGGCTGGGGATGTGGCTCAGTGGTTAAGCATCTGTGGGTTCAACCCCGAATACTGCCCTTTCTCCCTGACCAAAAAAAAAAAAATCTATAATGCTTTAAAAATTTGAAAGGCAATGTGATCGAGAAGTACTATCTTTGAAAGGAAATCAATCTGAAAATAAAAATTTATATAGTATATTAGCCTTTTCTTCTTATGAAAACGGTAGAAATATCTTATACCATAATATTCAATACTTGGTAATGTTCTTAGTAGGACTCTTCCATTTCATAGATTATTGGCTTCATGCTGTTGATAAAAAGGGAAGGAATTGCTTCATTTTCAAAGTTCCAACATCTCTTTTAATCCAAAGGAGGTTCCTGAGTGTTTGGTGTCTCAGGCTCTCCCAGTGTTACTAGACGGCTACTCAACTCACTCATCCCACAGCATCAATGAAAACGTTTCAAAGTTGCTTATCCCTTGAGTAAGGGAGAGACAGACAGAGACAGAGACAGGGACAGGCAGTAGAGAATCCGTAGGAAGTATATGCTCAGCTTTGAGTATGAAGAAAGAAAAGAAATGCCTAGAAGTCTGTGTTATGCAAAAATCATGGCCTGGCATACTGTAATATATAAAGAGGTCTTTAGATTTTTGCCAGTGTATTTAAACACAGTAGTTGGGAAAAGTGAGAGCACTTTATTATTTATAGTCACAGAATTTGGAGTTGAGAAATAATTTCAAATGCCAATCCAATTACTACAACCTAACATAATCTATTCCTTTTGCATTAGCTTATTGCTTTTATTGCAGTGCCCATCTGAAAATGACAAAGGAAGAAAGGAGAACACTCTGTCCCCCTTCACAGATGGAAAAGCTAAGGTCTTCATCTAGTAAGTCAAAACAACAATGGAGCAAAGGTATCCCTTGTCCAGTTCTCAGTTCAGCTTCCTGTCAATAAGACCTTGCCCTTATACTTCAAGTGTAGGGGCAAAAGTCTTTTGAAGAGCACTCTTATTTTTCTTGTTAAAAGGTTATATCAGCTCTTTAATTTCATTCCATGCAAGTTTATAGAAACTGTAAGTGAGGAGTTCCAAGAGGCATTATTCTCACAAAATTAAACATTATGCAGAAACAAAACTAAACAAACAAACCAAAAAAAAAAAAAAAAAAAGCATGAGGATGACAAGTTGAAACAGAGGTATTTATTTTAATTCCTTTTGCCTGGATAGCTTCCTGTCAGAAGCCACTTGACTAGAATGTGGAAGGAAGCCAGGGCTGTGGCCCTAGTCCAAAGAATCAAGCACACAACTGAGCCCCAAATACTTAAAGGTATATTTTTGTAGTCCTTTGTTATTGTTTTGTTTTAAACTATAAAGCTGCACCCAGTGGGGGAAAAATGATTCAAAGAACAAGATGTGAGTCAACAACAGGACAGAAATATAGCAGGATTCATACATTGGACCCACGGACCTTTTTCTTCCAATTTATCTGCATTTTGCTTCTGCTCTGGAGTGACAGGGAGTGAGCGCGTGGGTGGAGGAGGAGCCTGCCTGTGAGCAGCTGTGTGTACCTATGGTGCTTGGCACAGTCACTGTGTGCTTTTGAGACAAGGAAAAGGGAAAGCAGAGTACAAAGGAGGAAGGGCGGGGGGCAAACAACCTTGGGAAACGGGGAGAGCCCTGTACTGGAAGCCAAGGTCTAGGCCCAGCCATCTCCGGATCATCTCTCTCCCTCTCTGTGTTTACATAGTGCTGATCATGTTGGTCTAAAACTCTGTGTGTCACCCTGTCACCCTTGCTTCACAGAAAAGTGAAAAAGAATCCAGCACAGAGAGCTGACAAATGCCCACCAAAGCACTGTCAGTCCATCCATATTCCATCCACGCCTGACCTGTGTGCACAGTGTCATAGGGGCATGGGGTTGAACCCTGCAGCAATTCCAGAAGCCTCACATTCTAACAAATTATTAAATTTGCAATTTAGAGTTTATACTTAATGACAGGTTCTGGTACATAACAGTCTTCACTAAGCAATCCCATTGCCTTCGAAAGCAGACACTTGCCATTTGTTTGCCAATCATTCCTGAGAAGTAATTGGAGGCTGAAGGGACCTACATTAGTTCTAAGAGTCCTGGGCATAGCAGAGGCACAGGCAGGAAGGCATTTTTCACTTGTAGCATGCCTCAGTTTGGACTGGCCGAATTTCAAGCATTCAGTAGCCACATAGAGCTAGTAGCCAGCACACTGGAACTCATGGCTTAAAGTGTCTTATACTTTAGTTTTTAAGAATTCAGTCTTGCCTACTGTTGAGAATGGGAAATTGGCCCAAACCTTATGAAGAGCAAATGGGCAGCACACATCAGAAGACTTGAATTGTGCATACTTTTAATCTAGCAAGTCATTCTATGGAAGTTATCTTAGGGAAATAATCATGATTGTGTGCAAAGATTTAACCACAGAGATACTCACTGTGGTGAACATTTGGGAAAGCCCCAAATTTCCACATAACAGGATTTTGTTGAATATCTTGTGATATAGTAATTAATTAAATACTACTTGTGTTTATATGTGTGCATGAGAGAATATACATAAAAAGTTTATCTGTACATAGAAAATTTCTACAAAGAAACAAAAAAAAAGTCTTAGAGTTGTTTAGTGGAGAGAAATTGAAGGGTAAGGATGAGAAGAAATTGTTTTATGCTTTTTCTTTCTTTTTAAAAAATATTTTCTTCATTATAGTTGGACACAATACCTTTATTTTATTTATTTATTTTTATGTGGTGCTGAGGATTGAACCCAGGGCCTCTCATGTGCTAGGCGAGTGCTCTACTGCTGAACCATGATCCCAGCCCCATATGCTTTTTCTTATACTCTGAAATTATTAAAAAAAGAGCATCAATTAGTTTTGTAGTAAAAAGAAAACAATTAACAAAAAAGGATGTTATGAACTGACATAGAATGATGAAGCAGAAAGTGGTTCTGTAGAAAGTAAGTTTTCAAGCCTTACAGATATAGAGAATGTGTGCAGTCATTCCCAGGTCCTTGAAAGACGTAGAAGAACTCATTTTTGAGAAGACACTGTAAGTGCATGGAAAGCAGGGGTGTCTGCCTTTTCCTTTTTCCTTTTCTTTTCTTTTTAAATTTTTTTTCTTTGTAGATTGACACAACACCTTTGTTTTATTTATTTATTTTTATGTGGTGCTGAGGATTAAACCTCACACATGCTAAGCAGGCACTCTACCACTGAGCTACAACCCCAGCCCCGTGCCTTTTTCTTATATCTATTCCAAGGTATATGATAACGCATGCTGGAGAGGCACATGTATTACATTGACATTGAGATGTGAAAACACTTCCTTTTCTGGGTCAAATCTCTCATCTTGGAGTGTAAGACTTTTTCTATTCATAGTTTTAGTTTTCTTATATTTTGAGGAAACTTTTCTATCTATAGCCAAAGAGACTTGTATACATTGCTATAATATATAGTATGATATTGACTATTATATATAGTGTATGTATATGCATATATTTGTGTATATATACTATGCAGGATACAGTAGAGTTTTGTATGTAAGTAGTATATATTGTATATAACTAGTTTAAATAATAATGTAACTAAACTGTATGAAATTAATATTCTAGTATATAGTATTTTACAGCTTCATAGTATAGTATTAACATCTTATCAATCTGCAGTAAAAAAGGAAAATAGTTTTCAAAATAATATGTACACTGTGGATTTTTCCATAAAACATGTTTTTAAACAGAAAAAATAAAGGCAGTGTATAATTCAACCTGTTTACAATGGTTCTCTATGGGATATGAGACTGTGAGTGATTTTGAATCTTTT